ACCTGCAGCAGAGAGAGCGGGCACCAAGTCACTGCCAGGGCCAGCACAGCACCGCCCTGTTGCCCTTTCCAGCACCTTTCAGTGCCAACCAATCCTCCCCCAGCCCCTTTTATCCCAGTCCCACCAGTACAGGATAAAGCAGCGACCTGAGGCCTGCACCAACCTCCAGGGAGCGGATGCTGCAAGAGGTTGGCCACCGGGTTGGGGATGGCAGGAGCTTTGCAGCACGGCTGCATCTTCTCCGTGATGCTTTTCACCAAGGCCAGCACCATGCCCTGGACGCTGACCGTGCAGCTCTCCGCACTGCCCAGGATGGTCAGCGTGTCCAGCCGCAGCTCCAGGGCACCTAGAGAGACAGCATTTCAGTGCTGGAGGCATGGAGGAGGCACACCGTGACACGCCAGGTTCTTCTGACCACAAAGCTGTTCTAGGACAGCCATCTGGGATCACTCTGGGTGTTACTTACCCACCAGGGCTGAGACTGTGAAAAGGTTCACGTCCTCCACCTTCAAATCCACCTTCCAGAGCAGCCCCCAGGGCTCGCTTGAGGCAGAGGGTGGCTGCTGGGCAAGCTCAGCTCCACTGGGCCGCGGGCAGAAGAGGGGCAGGACCCTGGCCAGGCACTCGGTGCAGGTGTCTGACGACTCCACTTGCAACCCCCGGATGGTGCAGTCCAGGAAGAGTGTGTCCGACTGGGCACTGGACATGCCCAGGGGCTGGTTGTAGCTGCCCTGAAAGACAAACAGGACGATCACTCTCAGGCTCCAGGATGTCCTCGCAGAATCATAAAGATGGTTTGAGTTGGAAAGGACCTTTAAAGGTTGCACAGTCCAACCTCCCCTGCACTGTGCAGGGGCATCTTCAACCACAGCAGGTCGCTCAGAGCCCCGTCCAACCTCACCTGGAAGGTTTCCTGTGCCAATCTGTGTCCCTATGCCACCCACATGGAGTTGCAGACTGGCATCCCCCTGTCAAAACCCACCCCTCGCCCCTCACCTGCAGGTTGAAGGAGTCGAGGATGAGGGCTTCTCCCCACACGTGCATGTTGGGAGGGTGTGGGGCACGCTGGATGTGCGAGTCGTTGCCCACGCGCCAGCAGAGGTGGTCCACGGCCAGCACCGCTCGCTGGTGCACACTCTGTGGCCGCAGGTGCTGGTAGTCTGCGGGCAAAGGGGAGGGAGTGAGTGCCCCCAAAACAGGGGCAACCCAGAAACAGACAAGCAGGAGTCCACAGCCCCTGGCCAGACACACACACACACAGAGGCAAGCACGGGCAGAGCGATGCTCCCATTCCTGTCCCAGTGCCTCTCTGGCAGAGCCACCGACCCCCAGGAAGAGCCCAGCAGCCACCCCAGTACCTGCAGAGATGGAGTTGAAGCCCAAGGCGAAGGGTGGCGTGTCCCCCAGCTGCACTGACACGCTGACGTTGGACAGCGAGGCACACAGGATGATGGGCGCTATGATCTGGGGATAGCTCCTGCACGGGACACACAGGGGAGGGGTGTTACTGGGTACCATGGAGCCTGGCAGGGAGCAGGCTCAGAGGGACACCCTCTCTGCAGGGGCCCCCCGACCACCTGGCACCCCCTGTGCCTGCCCTCCCTCCCCACAGGCCATGCACAGAGCAGAGAAGGTGCTGGGTGCCCGGGCACCCTGCCAGAGCACGGCAGGCATGAGGAAACAAGCTGCAATACCAGCTGGGGCCGTTTACCTTCCCTTGTGCCCTTGGCTGGGGACAGGCACTGCCTGGCACCTGTATTCCTGTGCCAACAGGCCCAGCCAGTGCGAAAACTCTTGGTGGCGGTAGTGGATGATGCAGGTGTTGAGCAGCACAGCAGCCGAGAGGTCAATGGCTGTGACCTAGGGCAGGGAGAGGGCCAGGGGGGGCAAAAAACTTGGTGCCAGGAGCTGAACCAGCCACCCCCGAGAGCCAGGAGCATGTCCAGCACTCACTCACCTGCACGCTGGTCTTCAGGGAGTTGAGGCACACGATGCGCTGCCGGCTCTGGGACAGGAGAAGGCCATCTGGGGAGAGAAAGGAGCAACAGTGAGAGGTGGCACAGGGCAGTGACAACAGCCCTGTCCTGTGGGAGCCCTCCTGGCTACTTGCCCTCCAGCTGGAGGTCTACACTCATTTGGTCCAGGTCGGAGGTGGGCGTGAAGTTGCGCAGCGGGATCTGTTCCTCTTCACGCTGATATAAAAACTGGAGGAGCTTCAGGCTCCAAGTAAGGTGCCTGTAAGAAGCAAGCAGTTGCTGTCAGAAGGGAACTGCACCGTTGTGTCCTCCATCTCCACGTCTCTTGTCTCCAGCTGGCTGGCACGCTGGCACAGACAGACACCAGCCAGTGCCCAGCTGCAGCCCAGCCCAGCGCTCTCAGCCCACCAGCAGCGGATCCCATCAGGCTGTTCTCCTGGAGAACCAGCTCATGTGCCTCTCTCCTCCTCCAGGATCCCAGCCCCAGGCCAAGCCCAGGCCTTCCCACTGAGGTGAGCTCTAGGACTTGTTCTCTGCAGTCTGGCAGAGGAGGGGACAAGCAGGGAAGGGCACAGCTGACTCCAAATCTGTGTCCTCAGCGCTAGCCGGGGCTAGGACAGCCACCCCCTGCCTCCTCACCTCTTCTGGCTGTTCATAGACAGCACTGTGCTGGTGTTCTCCAGCTTCACCTCCACCCTCCTGGGAATGAGCTGCAGCGTGTCCCTGCTCAGCAGAGACAGGGATGTCAAGGGCTCCCTGGGGCCTGGAGAGGGACACGCAGAGTCACAGGGAGGCTCCTGCCCAAACCCCCTTGCCCCGCAGCAGGAGGGAAGGATGGCACAGCTGGCTGCAGTGCCAGCCCCTGCCCTGCCCAGAGCTCGTCCCTTTGCCCATCCCTGACCTGTGCCAGGCTGTCCCCCTGTGGTGACACGGTGCAGCAGTGGGCTGCAGAAGAGCCCTTCGTGCAGCTCTGCCTGCAGGGTCCGGATGCGCAGCCTGACGCCCACCAGCCGCCGTTTGCTGCCGAGCTCCAGCGAGAGGGAGAGTGCCAGGGCCAGCTCTGCCAGGCAGGCGTCATCCTGCACGGGCACACGGGCAGGGAGAGCACAGGGAGTCACCCAGCGCCCTGCTGGACACGGCACAGGGAGCCCAGAGCCTTGCAGCAGTGCCCAGCCTGGGGGACACGCTGGCACGGGTCCCCAGGGTGTCCCAAAGAGCCAGTGCCCAGGCTCAGAGCGGGGAGTTTCTCCCTTCCAGCACTCACCAGCTGGCTGCTCCGGAGGACTTTGCTGTTCACCTTTGTCAGGCTCACCTCGCAGGTCAGGCTGGGGAGAGCAGAGGGCAGATGGAGGATGCAGGCCCTGCTGCCTCCAAACCAAGTCCCTGACCTCTCTTTTCTGTGGGACACAGGAACCCCAAGTCCCTGCTCCAAGCCCTCCCGAAAGCAGAGCACAACCCAACTCCATGCACAGAGCATCAACTCCTCATGTGGAGAACGTGCAACTTGAGCTTCCCATGAAGGGAAAAGGGACCAGGCCAGCCTCAGAGGAGGTTGATGTGTCACATCACAGGTGACATGGGATGCTGCCGAGCAGGACGGAGAGATGAGACAGCAGGTTGGGGTCGGAGGAACCTCCCTGCCCCTCAGGACCCAGGGCCAGGCTGGGGAAGCAGAGCTGGGTGTGAGCACAGCATTACCTCTTCCCGTCACCATTCAGGAGGAGACGTGTCTTGCTGGCCTGGATGTGCCAAAGAGACTCTGAGGTGGCCACGTGCAGAACCATGATGTTGATGGAATCCATGTGGATGGAAAAGAGCTGGGGGGAAGGTGCTACTGTGAGGGACGTCTGACAGCAGCACAGCTCACAACAGCCTCCCACCAAGCCAGTGCCTCACCTGGCTAAGGAGCCTCAGCAGGGAGGGTTTAAGGGTCAGGTCTGTTCTGCTTTCATTTCCATCAGCTTCTCTGGGAGCCTCCAGGACGGGCGGCTCCAACCCAGGGCCCTTCTGGAGATCTGTGCGGATTCGCACCTCACCAAAACACAGCTCGAAGTAGCGCCTGGGGAGGAACAGCACAGGCAGCTCCTGCAACAGCTCACACGTGGTGCGCCCAGCCCCATTGCCAGGGGTACCCAGAACCAACACAAGGGCATCCACAAGGCACTGCCACCTCAAAGAAGAGTGATTCACTCCTGCGTGGAGCAGGCCGTGGGGAAAAAGGGACTGCAAAAAGGTGCAAAGGCAGCAGAACCACAGTCAGCAGGGCCCAGGATGAGCCAGATGCCCCAAGAGAGCAAGGAGGGAAGCGGGGTGGGGGTACTTACGGCAGCTCCCGGCTCAGCTTACTGGAGATCCAGACGTTGTCAATCTCCTGCAAGGATGCACAGGTAGGTCAGAGAAGAAACAACCTGGCTGTGCTTTGTGATGCTCATCCCGACGTTCCCACTTTGCTCCCAACGCCTGGCATCGTGCAGGGAGCAGCCCAAAGCCCCAGGCTTGCCCACGGGAGGAAGGGCCTGGCACCAGCTACGGGGCTGTGTGACAGGAGACTGGCTGCAGAGACTTGCTGCCAGCCTGGACGTAGCCGTAGCCACCCTGCCTGCCCTTCACCAGGTACCCACCACAGTCTGCTGCTCCCGTGGGAACTTCAGGCTGATGTTCTGGGCCCAGAAGAAGCCAAAGGAGCCGACGCATGGAGCTTCTGCCGGCACCAGGTGACAGCCAGGCGACACGCCAGCCACCTGCGGGGACAGGCGGAAGGCCAGGGTCAGCCTCCCTGCTGGGGCTGGGGACCCTCTCTGGGCTTGGAGTGCCAGCTCCAGCGCCCACAGCCAGATGGGAGCTCCCAGGGCCTGGCCCTGCTGCCACCCTCCCTGCAGAGTCACCCTCCCTCAAGTCCTGACACCCCTCTAACAGCCCCAAGGGTCCCCTTTGGCCCTCACACTGCCAAGACACTCCACACCCACCCCTGTAAGCTCCCCTGGACACCTGTAAGCCCTCAAGCCCCTGACACCCTCACACTCAGCCTCAGGAACCCCCCAAACCTCTGAAGGCTCACACACACCCTGACACCTCTTCCCAAGTGCTGTGAGTCACCCCAAACTCCTGACAACCCCCAAGGCCTCTTTGTCCCCTTAATGTCAGCTGCTCTCTCTTCCTCCAGGATCCTCAATAACAATACCCCAGTCAATCCTGTCACCCCCTAAAAATCCCTGTGGGCCCCCCAGACCGCCTGACACCCCATTGCCATCGCCGTGGTCCACCCCATGATGCTGTGGTCTCCCTCCAGCCCTATCACACCCCCGCTCAAACTCCTGCGAGCCC